CCGTAACATTACCGTATTCGGATGGACAACTCATTTTTCATTAAGCATACTCATACATGAACTTCTATTTGTCGCATCATAGATTTGAACAGCGTTTCTCATAGTATTTTCGTTAATGGATTTACACGTGCAATTTATTTTTTTATGTGACACAGTTGAATACTTAAGTACAGCAGAACCTCATTTATTCGAACAAGACAGTTCGAATGACTCAGTAGTTCGCATAATAAAACCTCACCTACTACGTTTTCCAGTTCAGCTAGGAGACACTCATATTTGTATATCTAAATTGTCCTCTATACGCTAGTATAAGAAAACGTGTTCGTATAACTGAGAATATGCACGATCGTAGTTCGAATAATAGAGGCTCACCTGTGAACTGCGATGAATCGGTTCGAACAAACGAGGTTTTACTGTAACTGCTATATCGCTACATATTTAAAAATAAAGACATTACCTAGACTGTAGTACTCTTAACTCAGCTTACAACTACAGTTCATTTCTGCATATGAAGAAGGTACTCAAGTCTTTCAGTGGGACCAGAGTGCTTGAAAGGTAACTTTCATGTGCTTATTCCGACCACAGTATCCTGATAGTTCGGATTTCATCTTAAATGCAAATCCAACTAAAATAAGAAAAATATAAAAAGATTAGTTGGTATGGTGAAACAGGTAAACATCCTGCAAGAGGCAAAAAGAAAAAATAAATTAATAGATAAATAAATAAATAAATAATTAGTGCCAGAGTTCCTTCTTTATAGACGATATGTAACTTAAAATATCTTGTTACTTTCTACTAATAACCAAATATCTGCGAATTCAGCTGCTATTAATAGACTGCAGATTTTATGCATTCAATATTTAAATGATCAAGGAAATGTTTATATATTAATGTATATAAAATACATCATATAGGACACCATAAATGTTTCATTTTCCCTAAAAATTCGTAGTCTGTTAGAAAATACAAGACAACAGTACAAAATGATTGTTGATATATTGATTGAATGGATGATCCCAGATTCGAAATTAATCTTAAAAATTGTATTAGAATCGGTGTAAAGAAAATCATGTTGACCAGTGATATAACGAGATTGCAGAACTATTTCTAAATTTATTTTGATTCACTACTTATTTCTTTCATCCCTCTTTCATTTGTCGCAGTCAATTTATACAAATGATCCGACAGTGTCCTTGGTATTTCAAATGGCGCTTGAGAGAGACATGTTTTTCGGTCAGCCGAGATGAGTTAACGCGACTATTTTTATCGTTGAAAAAATGAAGGATTCGTCTCGCGAGAGAAGCATTGCGAAAGGATTATTTTCATGGTTTTCGCACGGTGTAACGATTTCATAAAGAAAGTCCAGTTTTTCGACGTTCGACTCTCTGTATAGATACATTTGTGCAACGGCGATCAAGCAATTTTCACCAAGAACCAAGAAACGCGCGACGGGGCGTCACACTATGCGCCGCCGTTCCGTTCGCCAGAGATTCCAACCAGCTGCTGGACTTATGCACTGTGAAATACGTAATGCGTCGCGGTACGGGGCTATCCGAGATGTGTGAAACGAATTTACCTCTTTGTACGATCATCAAGACTTCCACTCGAGTTTAAAGACAATTCCGAATACGCCCCAGCATTTAGAAACATTCGAGTACATAATATTATAATGCAATACTTTTAAATTCTGTGCCAAAATCATTAATGACCCTAATTCAGGATATGAATTTTCCCAGACTTTTTTAAAAATTATTCCTTACTAAAAAGATACTTCAGATGTGAAATAACTACAGGCCAGCATTGTTTACGAATGTTCATTTACACGACTGTATAATTTCAATAGAATTATTGTAACACATTGATAATAAATCTGTTACTAAACACATGTACGTAATTCATGCATACTATAGGAGAACGTATTGGATTTAGACAATAACGGAAGTATAAGTCAAGTGAATTAAATAAATATAGAATATTCTATTATTCCATTAGAGCGTAAAAAGATGAAAATAGAAATTCACAAGAGAAAAGAGGGTAGAGAGTATACGTGGAAGAAAGAGAAGAGAGAAGCTCGGAAGAATCTTTGCGAGTCCTCGACAGCTCATTTCAAACATCTGTTAGCTCGCAGATCTCTTTCCTCGCAACCGAGCAGATTCATATGCCTTGAATCTTCTCTATGTAAGCCAAGATCTACCTCCTTGTTAGATATTTGTATGTAGGTATACATGAGCACAAGTAGTGACGCAACTGTATTTAGCATATACGTCTAAAAAATTACCTGGATTCGTAAGAACAAATATATGAATAAATTGTTACACTATATACATATAATTGTTACACTATAACGATGGAGAAAATGGATGATGTGACATATAAGAACAAGACATTTTTAATGATGATATACTATCATCTAACGAATAACATCTGTAATATATTTAAAATGAGAATCAAGTGGTAGATACATATGTAAAGGATACGTACATAGAAAGTGTACATCATTGTTAGATACTCTCAATCAAAAATTTCAAATCTTCTTAATGTTCAGAGGCTGAAAAAACTGCAGTAAACGTAGGAAATAGAAGAAGAACCATTTCCTGATGGCGCAACGACCGGATGATAAAAATAGTCGAGCATTTCCAAAACTGTGTACGAGGGAATACCATGAGAAATTGTTTAAGCACGGTGAACCGGCCAACTGTAGTGCGCGTCTAATTCCAGTCAGCCGGCGTTCTTGGAAAACGGTGTAAACGCGTCGAGATAGTGGCTTTTTTATTCCATCGAGCAGCTTACCGGCTCAATCATGAGCGTTACATCGAGCGTAAAGCCGTTGCCATTAGAAACCCGCGTACGGGACCGAATCATCGCGGAACAAACACCCCTCCGTCCTAGATTTTCGCGGCCTACACCGGCACTGCGAACCGACAGATGCGCTGACAAGCGAGAATTAGCTTAAAGGCGTCGCAGCTCGACAAATTGCACCGGCGTCTGATTGATGCGGCCAAACCAACAATCGCACCGCAAGCCGCCTTCCCTATTCATCTTGTTCTTGCGGCCGATGCATTAGCGACAATACTAGCAACGCATTAAGCGCCACTACTGCACTTACGCTCGCTATTTCCTCCTGAAGAACCTCTTACCGACGTTTTATTTTATAGCTACTCCACATTGCTTTATCATTTCAACTTCTAACGAGGAAAGTTAGACGACGACGACCAGACGTCCTTTATTTAAGAGGACAGCTCTTTATTTTACTGCTCTATTCAGTTTTTACTGTTAGTTTTTGCCACGTCTATTTATGAATTGAAATGATAAACTGGAAGAAAACGATTCGAAAAATTACATGAAGGCGTAAAAGCCATGGTGGTGTAAGTCGCTTTTCGGAATTGGAAAGTTTCGAAAATATACATATATCAATTTTCAAAGTAGATAAGTTAGGACTCACTTCACTAAAAATGAACACATTCAAATTGAAAATTCTGTCATTCGACATGAGAATCGAAGATATAATAATTTTTTTAACAGGTTCGCAAAATTTCTAAAATTTTATACAGTGTTTTATTAACGTAATATCCAGCAACTGATAAAATTTCAATGCTCTGTTATTGTTTTTACGTAAGGATTAATACAACCTTAAATGATCAAACAAATGTTTATTTAAAACATATCTTTGAAACTGATACTATGAAGGTTTTATTTTCCATAAAAATCCGCAGTCTATTTTATTACTCACGGTACTGTTAGAATGTAATCATAATTGGGACAATCTGTCATAATACTCCTACCTTCTAAGATAATTCCGTTTATCGCGTATAAGCATCGATATCGCATAAGAATTTTTCTTGATCACGATTTCCATAATCGTCGCGTAGCTTGACATTCGATCACGATCAGCATGCTGCGTTCTTACACAGGCAAACGAATACTTTTGACACGTGATACCAGAATCATTAATATCTCGAGGATTCTTGCGTGTGGCCAACACCTACGATGCGATCAGCAGGGTTTCCTCCTCGCTAGAATTTAAGCATTCACGGTGGGTGAGATTTGACAGGTTCGATAGCTGCAGAATCTCCTCTAGACTTGACACTCCTCGATGGATGTATGAATATACAATAGAAAATATGTCGAGCCTCAGTTGTTGTGAAAGAAATGGATACATTCTCCGGAGTTTAGTTCATAATTAATGTTGGATAGAGAAAAGCGGAGACGAAATGAGAGACAGCGCTTCGGGTTTGAAAACGAATGATACTTTATTTAGAACGTAATTCTGTAAACATTTAATCGTGCACAAAACGATTATTGAAGGACGCGGTAGCGTCCCGAAGGCAAGTCTGAATCTGAAGATGACAGCTTGTCAGCGGGACGCTACTGCATTTCTTATATACACGTAAATTTGACATACGAATTTCTGATTTATTCATTATAAATCTTCTACAATTTCTGAATGTTTTAAAGTTTCAACAAAGTTTTATTTGCTACTGTTCAATTTCAATTATACGTATGTAGGCGAATTAGTTGGATTTGGCGCCATCAATCAGTAGATCACGAATCAACTGCGAGTTGCGAATTACAAAGGCCTCAATAGTTAATCATGAGAATTATAATTTTACATAGACCTACAAACTACGGATTTGATGCATTTACAGAAAAATTGTATAGACAAAAAAAATACGAATTTATAGAAAATACATATGTATATCATTACCCATAATAATGAATTCAGTTAATAATTTAATAAATTAAATTATTATTATTGATAAACTATTTACGTTGAATTACGTCCTCCTTGATATCGCACAACTTTTATTTGAAAGATTCTTTATAAAAACTATTACTTCAGAAGAAATCCAACCGGCTCCAGTTATGTGCCCCGTCCTGCATTTAAGAATCTCGTCTGTTTGAAAAAACATTTCATATGCTCCAACCTGATATATGTTGATAAAAGTATTTTTCGCGAAATGATATGTTGTTTTGTATTTACGCCTTGTCAATTATTTCAGGGTCGCATGCCATTCATGCGCGCAATGAGTATGGAACAACGATGGCAAGATCTAGCGTCCCTCCTTTCGCTACCTGGTGCACCGGATCACTTCGCGCATCCTGCACATCCTGGATACCCAGGACACGGTATAAGTCACAGTCATTACGAGGCGCAGCGTAACGTATTGCTCCACAATGCAACTCTCGCACCGCCGGTGGGCGATCTTAATTCGACGAGCCCATATCACAATGTGGGTGAGTGTCCCATGCTTACAATACTCTCAATTTTAATGTCTGTGTTGAATTAAATAAATGTCCGATGCAGAATTTAAACACGAAATACATACGTAGAAACAGTTCTTTGTCTTGTCGACTTCAAAACGTTTAGCATCTTATAAACTACATCTTGTGTTTAATATTCAGCTCTACTTTATACATCTAACTTAATTTAAAAACTATAGAATTATATTAAACCGAAATTGAATATCCATATTGTGAATTTCAAATGAGTTAAGTTTTTTTATACACGCATTCAGGCTACGGATTTTTATGCATTTGTAAGGAAGACATAGAATGATGATATATGCATACTTAGACGTGTTGAATTTCAATATGCATAAACAGAAATATTAGAATCGAAGTGCATGATATGACATCTAATGAGTACGAGATGAGAAGCACTTCATTCATTATAAATATATTTTGCATAAAAATCCAGTCTACTTGAACATACATATATTAAAAGATAAAGAAAATTCATTCCCAAGTATTTTACATAATTTATTAATACATCTTATTTATACATAATTTATTACTACATCTACCAATAGAATGAATAAAAGATTCTGTAAAGCAAGATAAATCTAACACTTGTGTAGAAGTCAGCAGAACAAATTTTTTCTGATGTTCGATCTTTTTGAACTAAAATACTAATTGCCACAGGTGGATCGTCGAATCTGGGTTCAGCCGTGGCAACTTCAATGAATTTAACGAACAGTACGGAGCCGATGGGTGCGGAAAGCGCAGCGGCTTATAAATCTGAACCGGCAGATATGATGTACTACCACACGCCAACTTCCGATTCGATCAATCAAACTACCGATGGCTTTCTCTCGTCCCTCCTCAACGATGAGGATTTACATCTGATGGACATGGCCATGAACGACGGTATGTACATCATTCTTATTATCCCAACACAAATATTTATACGTTGCTCTTTTTACTGCAACAGTGACATACTTTGTTGAATACAATTTTTTAATTACAATGTGAAGGACAAGTTTCGTTTAACAATGATTTTATTGTCTTTAATATCTCATATATCATCTCAATATCTTTTTATATTCTAAATTGTGATGCCTTCAATATTTAGAATTGTTCAGCCACGAGTTTTGTGTTATGTCATTGTTGCAACAGGTATAGGTTTCAAAAGTTGCTGGAAAAATAGCAATTTTTACCAATTTTTTATGGGAATATAATGAATGTAGAAAATCTATTTAAAGGCCTGCATTGTACATACTTTAAATTGTGTCCACAGAGTTCCTTTTAAATTTTCACTACGAAATGGTAACATCAGAGCTTATGTTCCGCAGAAATATTGCTCCTCCAATTTTTATCAGGAACGAAGGGGCAAAATCAAAATATTACTATGAAAAATTGTGTATAATGAAGAAAATATTGAACGAAATGTAACATCCGTAGGTACTTCTCTAGATAATGTAATTTTGAAGCTACAGTTCAAATTTCAAATAAATCGATGATGATTTATCAAAGTTGTTTCCGGTTAGTTCGAAAAACTGAGTTTTGGAAAAACGCGTTTGAAGTTTTACGTAGCATTTTGCGATAAGACAGAAATTTTTGGGTAGACTTTAAAGTATGTACAATCATGGTCTTCAAACAGATTTTGTATCACATTCATCGTATTCCGGTTAAAAATTGTCAAAAATAGAATACTTTTCTCAGACCTAGAATAACATTACGCCTTAAATTATTTACTTATTTATTAACTCATTGTTTACCGATCCTGATATTTCAAAGATTGATGGAAAATTGTATCATGTACGCATGTACCTTTAATTTATATTGAGCAAGCTTGTCTACTACAATACATGTTTACAGTGACAGACGAAAGTATTTGAACTCTTATCATGTCATATTTATTTGTTAACATTTCTTTAGCTCTGTAATGAGGCACACACAATTCCATCGATAAAGTTTCGACATTCAACACAATTAGAAGAATTACGTAAATTACATTATGCAATCATTATTTTCTGTTTATTAATATATAGTAATATCACATTCAAGATCTATATGCTTATTATAAAGAGTTAACTTCTTATACATTTCCAGAAATTGCACATTCATTACTTAAACCTTACTAATATGCTGTTTCATTTTCACGTTTATTCATATTTAGTAGTATCACATTCAAGATCTATGTACTTATTATAAAGTGATTACCTTCTTACACATCTTTAGGAAGTGCATATATTACAACTTCCATGCACGTCTACCACTTAAATCTTACCAATATGCCGTTTCATTACAGTGCTAATGAAAGAAATACTACAATGCAAGTAATGTATGTGATTCCTTCGCGATAATTTAAATACTTCAATAAGTCACTGTACATAATTTCATTTTACTAACATTAATAAATATTTTAGTACACAAAACTGTTTTAAAGTCATTCTTTCGATCAAATAATAACTCCTAACTACTGAAATACAATACGGCGTTAATAGTAAATGTATTTAGAAATGAATCGAATATCTAATAAAAATAAACAGGTTTTAATTATAACTTTTTATTATAAAAGGAACGTACAAAACACTTAAGGTAATAATCAGAGAGTATCATTGTATAAAATAAAAGTGTTCTCATGTAAGTTATATCTTCACCGAGTCGTTTTATACTCTTCTGTTTATACTTTCTTCTTAAGAACTATATAATTTGTACGATGAATATCTGATACAATCGATACTGTATGAAATATACAAGTGGAAAATGTATTTTGCGAATCAATCGTCGTGTCTTAAACTCTAGTCAATGAAGATAACATGAACCTCACGTACTTCAACTAAAACCATTACATTAATCACGGTTTTTATACGCGTAAACAAAATACTGAATTAAACTGTTCTGTAAATAATAAAAAAACGTAAAACTTTATCAAACAGAAAAAACTCTTTGTACTATTAGACTTATCGAATAGAAACAATGCTTTTTATACCCTGTTTCTATCAGAATAATACAAAGAAAAAGCAACATGAACAAAACGATTAATAAACTGTCTACCAAGCTTCCTCTGGCTCGTACGGTGCATCTGAGCTAGCAGCGTACTGCGTTGAATTTGTATCCATCTGTACAAAAAGATACATGTATTAATTATCATTTGATCATTATACACAGTCATAATTATCATTATTGATGGACTACGGATTTTTATCCAAAATAAAATATTTGTGACATCAGTTTGAGAAACGTATTTTAGGTGAACATTTAAACGTTGAACATACATTAACTTTTGATATTCTGAATAGTTTGATGTATTGCAATTTTATAAATGTATCGAGAATCCGCAGTCTGCTCATTGATATATATAATTCAGAATTACTTACTCCTCTGATGTCTTCGCCTCCGAATTGACTCGGTTTGCTAGTCACATAGTCTCTGCTCGCACCTCCAGCCATCATCCAGTCTGGAATCGGTTGACCAGCTTGCTTCAGTATTCGAATTAGGTCGCCTTGCAGACCTCTATCGTTATCGTCGTCAGAATCGAAGAAAGACGTCGCTCTTCCTCGATTTCCCACGCGACCAGTTCTTCCGATCCGATGAACGTACTCGTCGATCGTCCTTGGCAAATCGTAGTTTATCACATGCGACACGTTCTTTATATCTAATCCTCTAGCAGCAACAGCCGTGGCTACTAGAATAGACATCCTTCCACTCTTGAAATCGCTCAACGCTTCTTCCCTTTGCCTTTGCAATCTGTCCCCGTGAATACTGGTGGTAGGATAATTGCTCTCGGACAAGAACGCTGCGATGAAGTCCGCCTTCTTCTTCATCTCGACGAACACCAGAGTTCCACTCAATTTGCCAGCATCGTTCTCCCTTTCCAAGATTTCTTTTAATTTATTCTTCTTCTCCCTTCGCGTGACTTCGTAAAAGTTTTGCTCTACGTCCGCACACGCTCCACCCACTATACCAACAGCGAGGAATAGATAATTGCTGAGAAATTGCTTAGCGAGATCTTGCACGTCGGCTGGGAACGTTGCAGAGAACATGAGCGTTTGTCTCTCGCCCAAGGGAACCATCGTTTCGTGATTTACGATCTTCTCGACCTCAGGCAAAAATCCCATATCCAGCATCCGATCCGCTTCGTCCAATACGAGGAATCGTACGGAAGAGAACTTGACCCTTCCTCTGTTGACGAAATCTGACAATCTTCCTGGAGTTGCTACTAATATGTGGCAGCCGTTGATAAGTTGTCCTCCTTGATGAAGAACAGACGTTCCACCGTAAATAACGGCAGTCTTTAGGATCGATCCGAGCGAGAACTTTGTGATCTGCTGCCAGATTTGTATCGTAAGTTCTCGGGTAGGCGACACGATGACAACTTGTGGTTCGCAGTGCGTCGACGTTACGATTAACTCCGTAGGATTGTCCAGAAGCGTGTTTATAATAGGAACTGCGAATGCAGCAGTCTTTCCCGAGCCTGTTTGTGCACAAGCCATCAAATCTCGGCCATTCATTATAATCGGCAGAGCGTATTTCTGTACTGGGGTCGGTTTCGTGTATCCTGACTTCTTAATATTATCCAATATGATACGCCTCAACCCAGCCGATTCGAAATTTTCTATCGGTCTAGGTACGTTCTCACCGCCCACGTTTACTTCGATCTTATCATATTTATCGAAATTGATACCCATTTCCACGCCATGTTCAAAGAGTGATTTTTCATCCGTAGGTAAGTCCGGAATGTAGTGTTCTCTGGGCTTTTGGGGCTCTCCGTCATCGTCTTCGTTTCCATCGTCTCGTCCACCAAATTTCCTTCGCCTATCATTTCTGTCATCTCCATTGTCATTGTTCTGATAATCATTATTTCTGTCATCATTATCCCGATTTCTTCCCTTAAATCCTCCGTCGTCGCCTCCCCAGCCACCTCTGTCTCCTCTGCCGCCACGATCTCCACCTCCTCTTCCTCCTCTACCACCTCGACCTCCTCTACCTCCCCTTCTTCCTCTGTCATCGTTATTATCATTATTTTCCCAATTATTGTCACCGCCACCAAATTCTCTGTTCGAATCTCTTCCATTGAAGCCTTTGGTACCTGAACCCCATTCATCGTCATTATTATTCTGTACTATGAAACCACGTCCCTTTCCATAGCTGCGTCCACCTTCATCATACTAACATTTACATAGGACATTAGTACGGTGTCATAAAATATTTCTTTAATTAAAAATGATTTATACTTACAGAAGCTTCATTATTCACTACAGAGGTAGAGAAATCCTGACCCCAGTCATCATCCATGATTGTCTGCTTTAATTCCATATAATTTTAGTAAAATGAAAAAATTATTGTCCACATTCTATACATGAGAAGATGAACAGATCTTGTAAATTGAAATTATTACGTACTAGCAATATTTATTTTCAAAATGCTTAAATAATTCCGGTTAACAAAACTGGTTTACAAGGACGTATAAAATAAAATTCGGCAAAAGTAAAATCGATATAAACAGTAGAATCTGTTATTCGTTCTCGGGTACAACGCGTCAAGGCACAAGTCAACGATGAAAAACTGATGAAAAGAAAAGCGGCTCCCGATTTACTGTTTTGTTTTTCGTGACCTAATAATCGCACGACACGCGCTGGTTGATACCGGTTGCCTCGAACATGTTAACGCGAAATATAAGTCATTCCAACCGATTTAGACATTAATTCTACCAACAATATTAATTCTCGCTTCACCAGATTAAGCCTTATCGAAATTCGCGAAAATGACACTTAGTACTAATTCAAGTATATCGATTTCTAACACACAAGGAATAGGACACGTGCACGTTGGTACATGTATGCTGCTTACCGGCATTGATGAGCAAACGGTGAACGAAAGACAATTTAACTTGACAATACTTACTTCTTGATCGTTGATGGAGAGATGTACACGAAGTACACGAAGGGTATCGAGCCGGAATAGTTAAGCAGATCAATACTGTAAATCGTCTTCCCTAGCAACTCCCAAAAAGACGAATGAGGCTGACTGACCGCGGGAGAATGGGAAACGCTGACAATACTCGACCGTTGCCACTAACGAACAAAGAACTGACAGAACAGCCAACTTAAAGAAAGACGATTCTCGCGAATCAGACCTCGAGTTCTGAAGCAACGCGCGTGCGCCTTGTGCATTGCGCACAACCGAGATCAGGGACGTAGCCAACCGATAACAGAGTCTGTTCCTTTATGAAAATATTTTTAACCCATGGGACGATTGTTTTTTTTTTAAATTCAATCTAAATAGGCTACGGACTTTTATGCAGACTTTTAAGGGAACTAGTTAGGAATTTGAAAGATATGTAGCCAGAATATCCTTTATAATTCTTTAATCACGAATGGCATTTAGCTATTGACGCGTGTAATTTATTTTGCATTCTAT